TAAAATAATCTACCTCCTATTAAAAAATACATGAAAAATTTTCTAAAAATCTGTAAGGATGTACTGTAAAACATAGGTAGTACAGTAATTATTTTATAATAAATGAAGTATAAACTTTAAAAATTGTGACACCATATTCACAGCTGTAACTTATATATATTATACATCAACCACACTTCATTTAAGAAAAAAAAGTGTTCCAGAAAACACCAAAAAAGAGACACTTAAGGGACAGCTGGTTCTATTTCACAGACTCAGGGTAGTGAATTACCTGGTCAGCATCGTAAAGTCAGCTCAAAGTTTTTGTACATTTTCTCAAATAATTTATAATCACAATCTATTCATTAGAAAAATACCACACAAATCTCAAATGAGAAACATTCTACAAAATAGCTGACCAGTGCTATATAAGACTATCAAGACCTTCAAAATAAGGAAAGTCTAGAACCTTGGTAGTAAAAACAGTTGATAGATATGATGATCACCTGCGGAGCTTTATAAACAGCACCTGGTCTCCTTCTCAGATCGTGATTCAGGTGCTCTGCCTTAGACCTTGGGCGTTGATCTTTAAAAGTATCCAAGCTAAATATGTGGCTACAGTTGGGGGGAACAGAACGAGAGGTAGAAATATCTCTGGAACCCCATTCCAGCCATTTTTTACTACTGTAAACCAGAGGTTTTGTGTTTAGTAGAAGCATAAACTTTTCTGCACCTTGCTTTATTTACTTTACCAGATAAGCTGGACTTTTTCAATGCAAAAAAAAAAAATTATTCTTTGGAAATATTAACAAGATGCCTTTAGTGCTACGTGTTAGTTTAAGCATCCATATTAATAGAAATCTCATTTCAGTCATGCTCAGAAAGATTTAATTTTCCTTTGCCTGTTGGAAGAAATCTTGATTCCAGCTTGTGCTTCATTCAGCCCAGTGTTTCTCANAGTGATCAAGCCTCATCTCTGGCCGCAGGTTGAATTCTTGTCTTCTGGAGGCCAAGAATCCTAGTGTCTTTTTGTGGGTCATCAACAAACTTTCCAAAGGACTGATGCTGAAGCTGAGGCTCCAATGCTTTGGCCCCCTGATGTGAAGAACTGACTCTTTGGAAAAGACCCTGATGCTGAGAAAGATTGAAGACAGGAGGAGAAGGGGATGACAGAGGATGAGATGGCTGAATGGCATCACTGACTCAATGGACATGAGTTTAACTAAACTCCAGGAATTAGTGATGGACAGGGAGGCCTGGCATGCTGCAGTCCATGGGGTCACAAAGAGTCAGACATGACTGAGCGACTGAACTGACTGATGGTAGGAGAATAGATTTCAAGAAGTTCTTAACTCCAGTGTTGCAGAAGGACTAAGAAAATTCACAGGTCCTGATTTGTAAGTAATTCGTGGATTCCAATAGTGGGAAGATCTCTGTGGTTAGGACAGAAAAAGTTAGAGGAGTCCAGGCAGACAATGACTTTGAACAGACAGGAAGGAGCCAGGGACTTGCTAGTCTCATGAGCTGCTAAGGATTAAGGGTATTGATGATAAGGAAAAGAATGTGCAGTGTTTTTAGAAAAGGATTTCTAAACTCTTTGGAATGATCAAAAGTGGCTGTAGTCAAACTAGCTATTAGGACAATGATTATCCTGTGGATCAGGGGTAGAATATGAAGGTTGTCCTAAATATTAGGGACTCAAGGGTTGTAAGCTAGGATAGCAGTAGTACATCATAAAATGCATATTTCAAGCAGGTCACTCTTGCTACTCTATGACGGAAAGTAAAAGAACACAAACCATTTAAGGAGATCTTGCAGTGTTTCAGGAGGAAGACAGTGAATAGTAGCTTGCACTAATATACAGGCAATTGAGAGAAGGGAACAGCACCTGTTTCACTGGTCTTCTGCATTGATTGTTCAATGATTCATTCATTAAAACAAATTTCCTAAGTGCCTTCTGCATACAAAAAAAGTCTAAAAATTTCTCCCTCAAGATGCTCACTGTATATTTGAAAGATTGCATTAATGTCTTTTCATATGATTATTAAATGCCTCTTTAATATTACAGACTAATTATTGTGAGCATACTCAGTTGTAGCTTCTGCCACAGAACATTTTCCTGGGATAATTGTGATAGTAAAAATACAGAAATAATTTATTTATGCGTGTGTGCAAAACAAATCTGGGTAGATATAGAACTTCATTACATCTTTTATCCTTAAGTATTTAAGAAAAAGTTACAAGTTCTGTCTATGCAGTGGCATCATTGTGTCTGAATTCTGAGGTCTGTGTTCAGTATGAATTGGTTTGTTTGTGAGGCACAGGCAAATAAAGAAAACTAAACTAACTTATTTAACCTTAATGGTAATTAAGTCCTGAGGTATTTTCCAGCATTAAATTCTACTCTGTATATAAGTGTATATTAATTTAAAAATAATTTATTTAGTTCCACAATATGAGGCATTTTGCTCCGGGCTCAGTCATCCCCTCTGTTTAATCTTTCATTAAACAGAATCACAAGGAAACATCCTGGAGCACTAGGAAAAGTCCAAGATAACAGTTTGCTTAGATTCTACCCATTTGAATTTGGGATTGAGTTTCTAGTTGAATGAAGTATGAGGGGATTCCACAGTTGATCTCTGAGGTTTGTTCATTGCCAATTAGATATGCAGAATTGAATGCCCTTGGTATACCTCTTAATGACTCACATATCCCTCAGTGATAGCTTTCTGCATCTTTTTTTCCCCCCCTCACTTTCCCAGACCATGACACATTATGTTTTTCTCTCCTTAGATTTAACCACTTATCATGTCTGATACCACAGCTTCCCTCTACATTTTCATCTGGACCATGTGCCTTATTCCATTGTCTGTATCCTGCTATGTTTGTTGGGTTCTACCCATGTTTTCCAAACATAGATTGCTGTCTGAACCCCTTACTGTTGAATAGGGCTCCTGTGGATATAAAAGGACCTGTAGTTATCACTGACCTATAGAGCTAGTGCAAGCTCTCTGACTTCATTTTCATTAAACCATTATTATCACCAGCTCTGATCCCAACATCATGTTGGATCTTGTTCCCTTTCTTGGGCCCCATCTTGCTAACCAATATGATTAACATCCTGGTGAGATTCCTTCTAAGCATCCTGTTTTAGGACGATGCCAGCCGTCAAACACAACTTCAGATAATACAGTAAGTTTCTATGTTTCAGGTCTGTAGATCAGTGGTTTTAAACTCTAGTTGTGCTCACATATCCCTTTAAGAATCTAATGTGGGGATTCCCTGGCAGTCCAGTGGTTAGGACTAAGCGCTTCCACTGCCCCAGGTCCAGGTTTGATTCCTGGTCATTGGGGAACTAAGATCCCAGAAGCCACGAGGAGTGGCAAAAAAAGAAATAAATAAATAAAAATTAACAAAAGATTTGGATACTCTCTTAAGAAAAAAGTTTCCAGAGAATTTATTTTGCATATTATTTCCATAGACCCTCTGAAGCCAATCATTGCATCCTTAAGAAATCTTGAATCAGTTTTATATCAAGTATCCAGAGACCACCTTCGTTAGAAACACCTGGAATGTGGTTTCAAGCTCTACTTTCTTGAGCTCTAGCAGAGACCTACAGCACCACTATTTCTCAACTGGGGAATCTTTATTTTTTACATGCGATCCTGAGATTTTTATATTAATTAGGATTTCCAAATTGCTGCTGAACTTGCTGGTCCTAAAGCCTTAGCCATTTTGGCACTTTGGGAACAGGTGGGTCATAGATGCAAGGTTTGGGAAAGTCTAGAAAATAAACAATCCCAGAAATTGGAAGCGTCTCTGGAACCGACTTTATTTGCAGTGGAAAAATCTAGAGAATAGTGTAAGATCCATTGTATCTATAAGACTCCTGCTGGCCTCAGTAGAACTCCCAGGGAAATCCATTGTTTAAAGAGAATTGAAAGTGGATTCTGAGGTTCCAGGTAGTTGGTTGTAACAAATGCTTAACATTTCCCCTCATGGTTCAGACTCAGTTTTCCATTACTCAACCTGAAAACAAGATAATGAGAGCAATCAAGGACCAGGTAATTGTGGCATGACCATAAAGAGACAAATGGGAAAGGCAGGCCTAGCTGTGGCTAGCCTGTTTCTCATGGAGTACTCAGAATTTGTATACTCTGTGGCAGTCTTTTCCTGTCCCTGAGCCAGGTTCCTTATCTATAAAATGAGAAGCTGTCCAGTCTGCCTTCCAACTTATATTTTATAGCTGTAGAGGACACTTACCTTTAATATTTACATTAACATTAACCTTAATAAATTCTGGAACTGTCCAAAACAGAAGAAGTGTGATTTTTACTTTATTCCTTTCATTCAGAGATGTGTTCATTAATTTTGAAAGCTGAACTATCTCTTAGCCACACATTCCAATTTTAAATGGCTTTGTCATCTTATTTCTTATAGATAAGAGTGTAACTCTTAAAATTTGGCTTGGCTTACTAAATCCAACATTTAATATTATTTAAATTTAAAGTATATTTTAGTAGTCAGCACTTAGTAATCCATGAAATTCATAATCCTTCTTTGCCTCCTAATATATTTTGTCTGCTGCCTTTCCTTGCAAAAATGAAGGCTCCATGGAAGCAAGAGATTCTGTATTTTGCTCACCACCTTAGTGCTTCGAACAATGCCTGGTACATAGCAGATGTTTAATGAATATTTGGTAAGTGAATGACTCAGTAATAAGCTTCCACCTATTTAAAAAGCTGAATGTATCACATTCTGTCAGGAAATGACTGACTTTACTGTTCAAGTGTCCTTTTAGGTTTCCTTTGGACAAACATCCAAAGTATTATTGAGAGATAACTATGGAGATGTAATGAAAAATATTCATTTAGTCCCTTTGGATCAGAATAGTACTTCCTAATACAAACAAACCTAAAGTCCTCTTACCTTTTTGCTTCATTGAATGCACAGCGGTTGCCATAAGTTTTTCCATCAGAACCACAGACTGGTTCATATTTAGATTGACATTTTGTTTTTCCGGTTGGGTTCTTGTTGGTAGTACGGCCAGTCTTCAGTAATATGAAACACCATTAGGTAAATATAGAATACTCTAATTATGTTATTGCAATAAAACATGTATTTATTACTCATTAACTACTGATTAAGCATTGTACTAAATCCATTATTTTGTTGACCCTTTACATTTTAATGTAATCCGTGCAACAGTATGAGAGAAGGTTCATTTTTTTCCAGGCGGACAGTGCATTTAAGTGACAGGCACAAAATCATGTATGAACTAACTACCCAATCTGGGATTGAAACTGAGTCATCTGATTCCAGAACCTCTGCTCTTACTATGTATCTCAGACTGCCTCACTCGAATGCTTTGTACACAAACTGGCAAATACAAAACACACATGGTCATTACTTATTGAACCTTTCTTTTTTCTTGTTTCATAAAAGAAAATGAGTCAGGAGGTGGGATTATGAGGGTTCAGTTAGCTATAATCGTACCTGAAGCATATCTCAGAATCAAGTTATAGGATGGCAGAAGGCTGTGAACATAAAGAAGCTTTGACTAGCAAATGAGAGCAGAGGCACTAAATGGAATGGTGAGTACCTCCAGTAGGGAGCTTAGACTTTCTAGAGCCAAGGAAGTTGACAGATAACTCTAAACCACTGGAAATGACAGAGGATTGCTCCTCATTTTATATACATCTATTTTCATTCACACCTACTCTGTGAATTGGACAGGGCTATCTCCCCCATTTTAGAAAAGAATATAAAATTGAGAAAGATTAAGTGATGATTTAAACATTCAGAAACCTTCAGGTGATGGCGTTAAGGTCTGGACAGCAGGGATGTCCCTGGGAGATTAACTACTACATGCTAGAAGAGGCATAAGGGCAAGGCGCATTAGGCTGCCTCTACTTGAAAGGATATTAATGAATGACACGTTATGAGGTAAAAAAATGAAGTCTCCATTAAGATAACAAGGTGGAGGAAGTGTTCTAGAAAACTGTTTTGAATCTACTAAGTGGAGTGTCCAAAGCCATTGCTGAATGCAATTAGAAAGCTGGATGTTGGGAAAGAGACTGGCGAGGAAAGGCAAAGCATAGCAGGACTTAGAAGGGAATGCGGGAGTCATGGATATGTACCTGTTTGCAATGATGCCTCTCAAATACAAGCCACTTCCTCATCTGACAAATAGTTCAAGAGAAATTATTATATGCCTATCTTTTTTTAGGGTCTGGGAATACAAGTTTGAAAAGAAATGGCACTTTGTCTGGAAATTCTCTGGCAGTCTAGTGGTTAGGACTCCGGGCTTCCACTGAAAGGGGCATGGGTTTGATCCCTGGTTGGGTAACTAAAATCCTGCAAGCCACATGACCAAATAAATAAATAAATGAAATTAAAATGGCACTTTCTTTAAGAAGTTAATGTTCTAATTGAATAACAGTCAACTGTAAACAACAATGTCCATTCTATGGTAGAAGATACCATTAGTATCAAGAATACATTCTTGGAAAACTACAGGATTCGGTACAATGTGGCTGGTGTGTGAGCAAGAGTGACGTGAAGTATCCAATCATGTTTAATCTTAGGCTTGAGGTCGGTCTAATCATGACAATCTTATGTGCCATGCTCAGGCGTTTGGGTTTTATTGTCTAGGTAGTGTGGTTTCACTGAAGAATTTTTAGTAGGGAAGTGATAGACTTGTGACTCAGAAATATCATTTAAGTGGTTTGTATATTATGGGTGGGATGAAAATAGACATGAAAGTTAATTCTGGTGGGGATGGGGACTCAGTTATTGAGTGTCTGCGTTAGTCCAATTATAGGTGGAAAGGCTTAAGTGGAAAACAGTAGAAGACAATGAGACAGAATGGAAGAGCATGACACTCCTAATGATTATAGGTATATAGGAAAGTAACCACCTCCAGTTCCCTCTCATTTTGTTAAAGCAATGTTGTCACCAACTGTTTGTCATTAGTACAGTGTATTCTTTTAACTAGAAAATAGAATAACTGAAATAAGTTACCTGAGGAAAAAAAGAGAGAAATTAACGCTAACCTGAATCTCCATTGTATTGTCATTCAAAGGGTTGACTCCAGTTTTTCTTTCTTCTTGATTATAAAAAGACTTTGATTCTCTCTGTTGCCTAGACAATCCTGTCTTTCCTTTTTGGCTAGATGACCCTGGCTTCCCTTGATGGCTAGACGACCCTGGCTCCCCTGGCTGGCTAGACGACCCTGGCTTCCCTGGCTGGCTAGACGACCCTGGCTCTCCTTGCTGGCTAGACGACCCTGGCTTCCCTGGCTGGCTAGATGACCCTGGCTTCCCTTGCAGGCTAAACGATCCTGGTTTTCCTTGCTCATTAGAAGCTTCTGGATTCCCTTTTTGGTTCGATAGTCCTGAATTCCCTTGCAGACTCCCAGGCTGATTGAAAACTCCTGGCCTCCCTTTCTGTTTAAAATTTTCTGGTTTTCCTGGCTGATTAGAATACCCTGGTTGTCCTTGCAGAATGAGTGGCCCTGGTTTTCCTTGGGTGTTGCTTCTTGTTTCCCTTTTAGGTTCTTTTTGTCCTCCTTGCTGATTAGCTTCATTTTCTCTCTCTAGAATAAGTGCAGGTTCTGGACTGTCTCCTACTTTAAAAACACTTGTCTTCAAAGGCTGGGTTGAAGATACTGGAATGATAACTATAAGCACAAAAACAAAATTATTTATCTTTAGGAATATAAAATCAACAGTATTCATCCCAAGATATAGCATGTATTTAATGCCTCTTTGATCTTTTAAAACCAAACCCCAAGCTGGAGTCTTCCCACTATGTCTCATAACTTGATTTTTTGAGTCCTCCTTTTTTTTCTTGACTGTATTACATGGTTTCCAAAAATAATGGTGTCAAGTCATCTTTCCCCTTTTCGAAATCAGAGTCTGAATTATTTGAACTGGGCCTTCACATTATCCCTAGCTTCCCTGGTGGCTCAGATGATTAACCTGCCTGTAATGCGGGAGACCCAGGTTCAATCCCTGGGTTGAGAAAATCCCTGGAAAATGGAATGGCAGTCCACTCCAGTATTCTCACTGTGAGAATCCCATGGACAGAGGAGCCTGGTGGGCCACAGTCCATGGGATCACAAAGAGTCGGACACAACTGAGCGACTAACACTTTTCAGATTACCCTAAAGTCCTGATTTAATGGATTACTAATTAATCAAATGCTTCCCTGGTGGCTAAGCTGGTAAAGAATCCACCTGCAATGTGGGAGACCTGGGTTCTATCCCTGGGTTGGGAGGATCCCCTGGAGAATGGAAAGGCTACCCACTACAGTATTCTGGCCTGGAAAATTCCAAGAGGGGTCACAAAGAGACGGACACAACTGAGCGACTTTCACTTTCAATTAATCAGACAGCCTCTACTTAATGCCTGTTGTAAGGATGTGAGAGTTGGACTATAAAGAAAACTGAGTGCCGAAGAATTGATGCTTTTGAACTGTGGTGTTGGAGAAGACTCTTCAGAGTCCCTTGGACTGCAAGGAGATCCAACCAGTCCATCCTAAAGATCAGTCCTGGGTGTTCATTGGAAGGACTGATGTTGAAGCTGAAACTCCAATACTTTGGCCACCTGATGCAAAGAACTGACTCATTGGAAAAGACCCTGATGCTGGGAAAGATTGAGGGCGGGAGGAGAAGGGGACGACAGAGGATAAGATGGTTGGATGGCATCACCGACTCAATGGACATAGGTTTGGGTGGACTCCGAGAGTTGGTGGTGGACAGGGAGACCTGGCATGCTGTGGTTCATGGGGTCGCAAAGAGTCAGACATGACTGAGCAACTGAACTGAAAGCTTTCAGCACATCACAGAATACACATACTCAACCTCACTGTACAGAAGATGCCATCATTAACTTTACAGACAAAAGCTATCAGGCATGAGCCCTCTTTCCACATCCTTTCTCCCATCTCCATACTTGTTTTCTGTAGTCATCTTCTTTCCCCCTAGTCACTGTCTCAAAGGCAGTCATTTCCCTTCTTAAGAGAACTTCCAAACCTTTGGAAAGTATACCAGGATTTCACTTGCATTTGCAATTGGTCCTGCTTTATATTTCCATGAATATACGCACTTCCATAAGTGTGTCTTTAGATTTAGCTACAAGTCAAATGCCTCATAAATTGTTTTTTATTGAGTATGCTGTGGTATTCTACATTGATAGTGGTTAAGGTCCTAACCTGGGCATAGGAGTTTAGCAGTTAGTAACATGGTTTATTCAACTGTGGTATAGCCTGAGGTGAGGTCTGTGGGTATAATCTAGCTGTTCACTCAATGTACCAAAAAATATATTGAGAGTCCATTACTATGCCAAAACTATAGTAAAATCTAGAGATAACAACTCTGAACAATGCATGTATGATTCTGCCCTCAAGAGGCTGACAGGGGTCTGTGTAATAGTGGGTACAACTAAGCAAATAGGAATTTATAGTAGAATGATCAGTGGTATTATGTAAGAAGTAAATTAGACAATAGACCGAGAGGAAGATAGCAAGGAGTAGAGCATCATATCTCTTTCCTGGAGGAGGTGACATATAAGAAATATAGGCCATAGCCTGAAAAATGGATAAGAAGAGAAATATTTTTGACAGAGAGATGAGTTTATGCATGAATTCTAAGAAATGTTCATTAACAGCACTAACTTCAAGTAAAAATCAATGAGAATAGAGATGTGGATGAAATGGAAAAAATTAATTGGTCAATCTGGGTTTTTTTTGTTAATTATGTTTAGTTTTTTAAATAGGTCATACAAGTAAATTGCATCAAATTCTAAAAATACAAAAGTGTAAACAGTTTAGAGTAACTTTTCCTTCCTTTCTTGTTCCAATCCCCTCATATCCTTACCTAGGACACAATTACATTTCCCAGGGTTTTCTGTATCATTCCAGAGATACCTTGTGTGTTTACAATCATATTTGAATATATTTTCCCACAAAATTGGTAGCATACCATATATGCTGTTCTACTCATTTTCTCCCTGACACCACAGTGAGGCAATCTCTAGATCAGTGCTTGCAGAGCAACTTCTTTATTTTCCTTAGTGGCTGCATACCATCTCATTGGTCACATTTACCATAATTTGTTTAACCAGTCTTTTAGCAATGAGTAGTTGGTTTATTTTCCTCTCTTAATATTACAAACAATGATTTTTATGAAAACCCTCATATTTATTTATCCTATATCATTTCTCACATGGATAATATAAATTTGTAGAATAGAAACTAGGAGTGGGATTTTTAGTTAAAAAGATAACTAAGATATAAGAATGTGTTTTATCCATCTATTTTTTTAAGCTAAAATTGTGTAAAATAAGTATTTTTAGTTTTGGTTTTGTAGTTTTCTCTTCTGGTTTACCCAAATTCTAAATATGTGATTGGTACAGCTTTATATTTGTACTAGGCATTCCTGAGTCCTCTCTCTCCTTCACCCTCCAAATCCATGTAGTCACCATGTTTGATACTAATATATGTTCTTTCACTAACAAATGACTATTGAATACACACTAAATGTCATTCAGCGAGACGCTGAGTTACACAGGAGATACGGTACCTGTCATTGTGAAACATACCTGTTCTAGTGACCAGTGGCAGCTGTATGCTTTATTTCTTCTGAAATGTATACTCTTTTCTCCTCCCTTCTCCCATTCCGTCACTTCACTCTCTATTCTTATTTCTTGACTCTACTACTTCAGCAGATCCCTAAATGTCACTTCTGTACAACTTTTCTCACATGTAATTCATTTTCAGTATCACTGTAGACTGATATTCCAGAACAGAATGGGTCTGATTACCCCTGTACTCAACAGTCTGAAATAAGTGCAGTGTTTTCAATGAGAAGAGAATCATTATTTCTGTGTTCCCATTCTAAGCAGCTGAAAGTCATAGACACTTTACTTCCATTATTTCATTTTACTAGATGTAGGGGGAAAATGGTCAAGTAGGAGGTCATAATTTGGAGATATTAGTACAGTGGAATTGGTTTCATTTATCATACTTTTATTATCTCAAGAAATGTATTATCTGTATCATTTATTATCTTGACAAATGTATTGCTAGCTAGGAATTTACACCTCTGAAAACAGACAACCTCAACACATTGAGGTAAGGAATAGAGAGAAGCATGTTGAAGGAGAGTTGCTTGTGAAGATCTCAAGTAATGATAGCTAATGTTATCATGATTCCTGTGATAACCTGTATAAATGTGTAATTATTTCCATTTTTGCAAATGAGAAAGCTGAGGCTTGCAAAAGTTAAATTGCCTTTAAAAGTTAAAAGTTAAAGTGCATAAATAGAAAATTGAACTGCCAAGGATTTGAACCCATTTCTAGTTGACCACACTGCCCTGGATCATCACACAAAGCTGTATCCTTTGTGGAATGTGAACTTGAATATACACAAATTCTCATGATCCTGTCACACTGAGTTTTCTTTCCAGCCTAATGTCTTGCTTTTCTCTTTAAGCCACACCAACCTACTCACTGTTGTCTTACCTGGTCACTATCTTTGTGCCTTTGGTCTATATTTAAGTTGCTTGCTTGTAATTACCTTCTTTCATTCCTCTGACAAAGATTTCCTGTTTTAAGGTTTCTGACAAAACATTACTAAATCACTCAACATTTCTAATTCTTTACATTTAGAGTTGGAAAGAAAGCCATTGAATGTAACTTTTCTTACCTGAGAACATGGCCAAGAACATGAAGGGGAGGAAAATGAAAGCCTCCATGTTAGAACCAGTTGGTTGCTGGATGTTCAGTAGATACTTTCTGAATAAACCATGCTGATTGCCACCATGTTATATATTTGGAAAATTCTCCACCCTTGTTGCTAAACACAGTCACTGTGTTTAAAAAAAAATTACAGTAATTTTTGAAACCTGAAAGGTGTTCCTTCTTAAGTAGATTATCATGTTTAAATTAGCTTCACACCCTAACTCTCATAAATATTCAAACTTTAATATGCTCCTATCAGATATCTTCCTCACAGAAAAAATTTAAAAGGCTTTCATGCACTGGAGAAGGAAATGGCAACCCACTCCAGTATTCTTGCCTGGAGTATCCCAGGGACAGAGGAGCCTGGTGGGCTGCCATCTATGGGGGTCGCACAGAGTTGGACACGACTGATGCAATTGAGCAGCAGCAGCCCATCTGAGAAAGTGATGAATTCACTGTTCATTTTTTGTTAAGAGATGACTGATCTTCAGTCAGTACTATTATTGATACTCCAAGTTTAGAGTGTCACAGGAGAGACACTGTAGAGATTCCCACGAAATTTTCCTACAAATGAGTTATGTGCAAAATATTTACTTCAAATTATATTTTATAAACAAGGGACAATGCATTGATATTTGTCACTAGCAAGTGATGAGTACACCCAGTGGGGAATGCTAATGGGTAATGTATTTTTATGAGGTAGCAAGAGACAAAGGATCTCATGTTTGAGGATAACATTATACTATCGGCCCTTTTGCCTTAAGCTATTACACCAAACAAGCTCATGTGAGTATCACCTTGGGACTTTTAGTCAGTAATTAACTCAGTATTATGAAACACTAAAGTATTGTGTTCAAGATTGGCTGCCCTATACAAGAGAAAATTAAGCATGGCCAAAAGAAGGTGACTTTTATAATGTGAGGCTTAAGAGACCATATAGCCTAATAAGGTTGGTTGATGGTGCTAGGAAACATAGCTTGAGTAAAAGCAGACTTAGGAATAATATTGCCATTGGCGTCATCATTTGAAGAGTGTTAGTATGGAGATACAAGATATTACTTGATCTGCATAGTTCAGATGGCAGAACTAGTTCCAATGTAAGAAAGTGCAAGACAAACTGTTTTAAATTTAGGATTTCTGCTTTGGAAAGGGTGGTGAACTAAGTGATTCTTATAATCCCTTCCAATTCTAAGATACTCAGATTTAGTGGTTCTGAATTGTGTTTGATTTTCACTTTAGCTTATTTAGAAAGGAAATTTTGAAAATGATAAATGATTTATTTTAACCAAGCTAACAATTTTAAGGCATCAAAAAGGAAAATTTTGAATTTTCAGTAATAAGGTAACTTTCCCCCCTACCTAATTTTTCTTTGTTCTGACTGGGCTTCATATGAATGTCAGAAGAGGTTGTATTGATCCAGAAGGCCTTGAACATACATAAATGTTTATGTGGCAGTGGTTTAGTCACTAAGTTGTGTCTGACTCTTGGGACCTCAAGGACTGTATAGTCCACTAGGCTCTTCTTTCCATGGGATTTCCCAGGCAAAAATACTGGAGTAGGTTGCCATTTCCTTCTCTAGGGGATGTTCCCAATCCAGGGATTGAACTTGAGTCTCCTGTATTGGCAGATGGATTCTTTACTGCTGAGCCACCAGGGAAGCCCCCGTATGTTTATATGTGCATATATTTTATTAATAAATAAATGTATATAATAAATGTATATATAATACCCCATATGTGTATATTGTTTTTAAACATCCTATAATTTTTACTAAAATTTTATTACAAAAAGTTTCAAAATACCAAGTTAAAAAAATTTGCAATGAAAGCCCACATACACGCCACCAAGATTCTTTAGTTCATCATTTGCTCTACCATGTGTATTGATAAAAATGGGTAAACTTTATGCAAATTATTTTTACTCCAGATACTCAGGTGTAGATTCCAATGCAGTAAATTCTCAAATAACAGCAAATGGACCACAAGAGCTGCATCTTCATTTTACTTTAAACAAATGCGTCTTACATAATGCCATCATGTCTATCTTACCCATGTTTTTTTTCTAACTTCAGCTTTGTCATACTTGAAAACAGCCTATGTACAAACTAACAAATATGATGAGTGCCTTGTATGTGAGGATACTGCAGTTAGAAGGTAGAGTCTCATGGAAGCCTATGCTCTGAGGTCTCAGCACTGCCTCTGTGGCTTAACTGAAGGTATCATTGATTGTGCTGAGTAAGGTAGCCCTTTATCTCTCTTTAACATATCTCTTCTCCAAACCATTCCAAAGAGCTTTTTGAATAATTGCTTTTAATCCTCCAATTTTCCTAAATGGGAAATCTAATTTCTCCTTTAATTGTGGGAACTTTCCAACCTTTAAAATTATCTTCCATTAGTATCTTCCTTTACACTTTGGAATAAGGTCGAAATTCTATTGTGGAGTAGGCTCAGAAAATGCTTCCCACAGTCACTTGTTAGAGAAGGGAAGAAGGTGTTTCATATGTTTTGGAGTGAGATTCTAAATAGAAGATATCCTTTCAGTAGTCATTGTATCTGGCTGGAAATAATAATAATAGCAGTGAAGTCAGATGACCTGAGGTTGTGTGTCTCCTCTCATTTAGCTATGTGATCTTAACACAAGTTTATCTTTCTCTTTCCATCTGCCTTTTTCCATCTTCCTTACTACTTCTAAAATCATGATAATAATACTCCACTGAAAGAGTCAAATTTTGCTAAGTGTTTTTATGGTTTAGAAAGTTCATACCTGCAGTTTAGTAATTTTGGTTTCTGACTGTGGGCTGTTGCAGCATTCTCTGTCTGGTTACCTGATTTAATCTCAACTAACCATTTGTCACGCAGCTAAAGGGAAGGAGACTTTGAACTCTCTATTAGTTTCTCCTGGTGAATAGCCAATATGTTTCCTTTTAATGCTTTCTGGGAGGATGGGGACTAACATGTGTCAAGTATTGTTCTTTGACTCCAAGGAGATATGTAAAGATTGAGCACAATAAAGGACTGAAGACATCAGTTACGTGGCATTCATTAGGTTATACATGTTGTTGTTGTGTTAGTCACTCAGTCGTGTCTGACTCTTTGTGATCCCATGGATTGTAGCCCACCAGGCTCCTCTGTTCATGGGATTGTCCAGGCAAGAATACTGGAATGGGTTGCCATCCCTTCTCCATAGGTTATTCATACATAGATGCAAATAGGTTAAACTGAATTCAGCAGGCAAACTGATTTTTTGCTTTGGTTTTTGGAGTAGAAGACATAGTACATCTTAAACTCCATGTCACTTTGCCAAAATTGTCAGGGGGAGACTTGCCAGTTGGTTACCAAGTTTCATTAAATACTTCACAATATTAAGAAAGAAGCCAAAGATCAAGCACTTAGGTAATCTCTACCTATGGCTCCTCACCATTTCTCAGTTTATTTGCTCATTTCACCCAGTCTTGACCCCATTGGAGGCATTAGTTTCAGAACACTATAAAGTCCTGGAGAGTGGCTGATGCTTAAGATAGAATCTCGGGCATCTTCTCTGCTTTGGTTGTCAGTTTCTTTATTTAACACATAATGTCTTCATGTAAACTGAAATTCAAATATATTCAAGTTCATCATTATTTGAGATGATGCAGATATCTGATACACATTAATGTTAGCTATTGTTAGTATACTTAGGTGAACATTTGAGTTTAGAAACATGACTACTCCCATCTTTACTTTAGTTGAATACACATGATGTGACTGGAGAACAATAAAATATAAGGTAGAACATAATTATGATAATCATGAACTAAATTTGTTATAATTAAGGTGTTTACTGACATTGCCTAGACTCTCATTGATGTGCAAGGGTGCAAATTCTAGGGATAAAATCTGAAGCATAATCTGCTTCTCACACCTAGATTAACTTCCTCTTCACTACCATAAATACAATGACTTCTTTTTTAAACCTTATTTTCATACTTAAGAGTAAATAAATTACTGGTCCTCTGTTGATCATCAGATTTATTTAACCATTTGAGTCCAAGTTTTCTGTTACTTGTTTCTTAAACCATATTTCTAGTCATCCTCTGTATGATGTCCACTGATAATTAGTCTTAGAAATATATTTTAAAGGAAAGAGTATATTTTCAGAATGTTATTTATAAAGATTAGCATTAACAAATCCTCTTCATGCAACTTACTCCTCTCCTACAGGGGAATCCATCCCACTCCCTAGAATCCAAGCTGGGCCAGTGACTTCCTTTGACCAATAGAATGTAGTGAACATGACAACATGCCATTTTTAGGTCTAAGCCTTAAGAGCCTGGCAGGGTTGAGTGAGAAGCTACAGAGAGACAGAGACAGGGAGACAAAGAGAAACCTCTCTAGCACTGCCACTGAAACATCAGAAATGTGGCTGAATTCTTCGTGGATCCCAGAGGAGCCACACAGCCAGCAACATCTAGAGCAGAGGCAGGCCGTTTCTGCTGAGCCTGCACAGGTTGCAGAATTGTGGGCAAATACTGTAACTTACCGTTTTTGTTTTAAGCCAGTAAGTTGGAGATGATCTGTTATGCAAAGAGAGATAATTGTTATAATACTGTTGACAAGATAGTGATTACTTTTTCACATTGAATCAAGACCCCATGATAACCAAAATAGGTACCATGTATGAGAAGCTCTATGTACATTATCTCATTAACTTCTTCAAACAGTATTTGGCCACACCCTTAAAAATATGTTGAGGAAACTCAAGCACAGTGTCATTAACTAGCTGTTTTCACATAGTTAACCCTAGTAAAGATATTTTAGCATATCTGTCGAAGTAACCCCAATGCTGAGCCTTGGCTCCCAAGGCTCTCTATAAACTGACTTCTCTCACCCTTGATCATGGCAACCTTATTTACATTTCAGGGTTTTGTTTTTGGTGTCTTGTTGTTTTTATGTTTGTTGTTCTCTTTACTCAGAGCACCCTTCCTCTAAATTTGCTTGTGCCCAAATGCTTTTCAGCTTTCAGGATTCAATTCAAAGTAACTGATTTCAAATAATTACTCTCTCCAAAATGTACCCAGTTTTCTCTGTCATATGTCTCAACTTTGCTTCCTTTATAAATTGATTAATGACTGAAAAATATTTTTTAAATATTTATTCTTATGCCCCCAAGGATCTTGTCTTGTTTGCCCTATCCTGGGAATGGTATCTAGCATAAAGTGAAGTCGGTCAGTCGTGTTTGACTCTTTGTGACCCCAGGGACTGTAGCCTGCCAGGCTCCTCCGTCCATGGGATTATCCAGACAAGAATACTAGAGTGTGTTGCCATTTCCTTCTCCAGGGAGGAATCTTCCCAACCCAGGGATTGAACCTGGGTCTCCCGCATTGCAGGCTGACTCTTTACCGTCTGAGCTACCAGGGACTCCTGGAATCTATCATAAGCATTGAATAATTATTTGTGATTAATGAAATAATTCATGCATAGGGGTTTTATAAAATAAAAGTGTAACAAACTATACTTTGAAAGTGAAAATATTAATTGCTCAGTCGTGTCCAACTCTGCAACTCCCTGGACTAGAGCCCGCCAGACTCCTCTGTCTGTGGAATTCTCCAGGCAAGAATACTGGAGTAGGTAGCCATTCCCTTCTCCAAGGAAACTTCCCAACCCAAGGATCAAACCCGGGTTTGCTGCATTGCATGCAAATTTTTTATGGTTTGAGCCATACATTTGTTGGTTGCTGTAAATTTTTCCCTCCAAACAGTTTGAAGATACAATCTTGTCTACCCATCTTTAGATTTCTGAGGGCATACTACATGCCAGTAAACCTATACTTTCAAGGTTTTTCACAATTTATCATGCATAGAAAATTATTTTATGTAGTAAACTGATAAAGCCAGAGACAACTAACCTAAAGCCTTCAGCTGTTGCATAACCTGTTCAGCTGCCCCAAATAACTGAGGTGACCAACATTTTGTCTCATTTGTTACTTATTTCTTGTCTCAGGGTACAAGTTGAGAAGCTCTAAAACTAACTCAATATGTCCCTAAGAAAAAATACTTCACAAATATATACTAAAGAATGCTAGTCAAGGTTATGCTTTTTCCAGTGGTCATGTATGGATGTGAGAGTTGGACTGTGAAGAAAGCTGAGTGCCAAAAAATTGGTGCTTTTGAACTGTGGTGTTGGAGAAGACTCTTGAGAGTCCCTTGGACTGCATCAAATTGTATCATTTTGTACTAAGGCAGTCTAGCAGTTAGTCTAAATCAAATAAAGGTGGCTCCATTGTTAGCTGAAAAGAACATCAATGTAGTCAGTCTGCCGAGGTAACTTTATTGAAAGTGCTTTCTTTATGCAAAATAACTGATGGGAAATACATAGCAGTGGAGACTGGATAAACAGAGCCTGAATCTTCTGATGCAAAAGGCATATTGTAGGCACTTCCAGCTTTGCAGCATCAGGTGAATCAACATTTTCCTTCATGTTTGAAATTGAGCTTCCCATTTCTTTCCCTGAAAGAATAGAGATACTGCTCACAGTGAAGTGTGGTAGATGTGGGTTAAACCCAGTATAAATGAATTGGGAAATGATACTTAAACTTTCTAGGTCTGAGGCTAATAATATTGCTTTATTTTCAACAAGAACTATCTGTAAAATACTTAGCATAGTAAAAGGCTTAATAAAGAACTTCCCTGACTTATACCCCATTGACCTCAACCAAAGATGCTATTCCAAAGACAGCTTTCAGACGCTTACTTAGCAGCTCTGCAGAATTCACAGAGGTTGTGGTAAGTTTGTCCATCAGTGCCACATACTGGTTTGTTAATCTTGGGACAAGGTTTTCCATTTGTAGCTGTTTTCTCATAATTGCTGCAAAAAGCCTGTGATTAAAAAGTTCTTTTTTAATTTCATGAATAATGGCATTGACATCACTACCTCTCTCAAGTGATAACAAAAATATTCTATTTATGCTTATAAATCCATTTTAAAAGTTCTTATTATTACTAAACTCTTATTATTATTATCATTATTTTATTATTGAATCCTTGTAAAACCAGGATTCAAACAAGGACAGTTTTAACTCTAGAGCCTATACTCTTAGCCATTATATCATTCTGACCATACGGGAACCCACTAATCTAGCCACATTGGCCATTAATAACCTGTGAAAATATTTTGCTTTTTTCTCCCAGCACTATACTACTCTTTTCTCCTGCAATAAATTTTCTCTTCTATGTCATTCTTTAATGATATGAAATAACACCTCTCAAATACCATCTCATACTCTGAAATTTTCCTGATAATCCTCAGGTGAGAAAAGATTGCTTCTGTTTCCAAATGCATACAAGTTTATTAGCTGACATCAACCTTTAGTAGTACACAAATGTTATTAATATTTTTATTTATATTTGCTTTTGTTTACTTATTTTTGTTTTACTTTGGACTTTTGTGGTGGCTCAGACAGTAAGAATCTGCCTGCAATGCAGGAGACCCAGGTTTAAAGCACACTCTTAGGAGTAAGGCATAATAAAATATATGTGCATATAATCATAGTTCTATAATTGATTGCTTCATTAGCTATGTCTGTAACTACCTATCATACAATGCATGGTATAATAGAACCGTTAAAAATACAGAGCAGCACAAAAGGGATAGATTTAAATCACGTATAGAACACTATCCAGAAACTTTCACTATTGATAGTACCTTTCCTGACATCTTCTCTGTTTATATATTTTTCCTAAGTCTCATTACCATTGATAGCATTTTATAAAATGGTTTAAACTTGAAATATTATTTCAGTATCTTTCTGCATCAGTATACATTCTATATTACCATTTTGAATAGTTACTATATATTGTATTAATTATTATTCAGTTCCCTATTTGGAAACATTTGGTTTGTTTCCATGTTTTTTCCTTTTCTTGTTTGTTTGTTTCCATGTTGTTTGCTAATGCAATCTATATTGCTAGGAATGTCTGTATAAATGCATTTTCAGTTCTTTCCTTAGGCTTCATTTCTAGAAGTAAAAAAACCCTCTGTTTTTAATTTGCCTTTTTAAAGACTTTAGATGCATTTATCAAGTAAAACTTCAGGGATTTTTTTTTTTTCATATTTCTATTTCCTTTAGGCCTTGACCATAATAGGAAACTCATGGAACTTTGTTGAATAGTGTGAAAGTGTTTTTATATAATTACACAACTTCATAGGTAGAATGAAAGAAAATCTGCTCACAGATTTTCCTCATGGGAATAAAGGACAGACTTTCGTAGCCATCTTTTTTATTCCGCTTTCATTACCCTTACTTCAAGCAAAGAAAGTCTGTGTTTATCTGGTGTTACTTTTACCTGTTGAGATTTTGCTTTCAGTTTAGCTGAAGGGCATTTCTTTGAAAAGCAATATTTCCTATGCTCTAATTTTACAGATGGGGACACTAAAGCTCAATTCCTTTTGGAAGACATTCTTCCAACATTTCACATGACATGAGGACAGAATTAAAACCTAGATATACCATTACATTTGTGGCTCAGCTGGTAAAGAATCCACCTGCAAAACAGGAACCCTGGGTTCGATCCCTGGGTTGGGAAGATCTCCTGGAGAAGGGAAAGGCTACCCACTCCAGTATTCTGGGCTGGAAAATTCCATGGACTGTATAGTCCATGGGGTCGCAGAGAGCGGACATGACTGAGCAACTTTCACTTTCACATCGCTTTCATACCATTACATTGTGATTTTCCAGTTTGCTTCTTTATCTATCATAAACCCATTTTTCCAAGAACCTAATTTTGCATACTAAGTCCCTCCTCTCAAGAAGTTCCTGAGAGTAATGCAGTTTATAAAGTTATTATTTAATCTCAGTAATATTTCAAATATATTTCTAGACTTAAAAGTTCAACATGAAAATATGTAACTCCACCTGCCTCCCAGAATATAATTTTCCTCATATGGTAAAGAGAACAAAATGTAACTGTTAGTTTTCTCGCTCTAAACATCAGAAGAATCAAAGTTAAGGAGAGTCTCATCAACTCTAATAGCATGACTTTCTAAATTGTCATGGGTTAAGGAACTGACTTGTTACTTTTATGCTTTCTGCTGTCACCACGTGGAATAGAAGGCATTAAGAATCAACTTCTAGGTTGTATCAAAGCACAGTAGATTAAAGATTTAAGTGAAATTGAATTGTCTGTGAATTGACAAGACATTTTTTAAAAAACTCTGTATATTTCATATAGTACAGTTTAAGCAAGACCAAATTTGTCTTTTTTAAAAATTTTCTTTCGCAAAAACAATTTCTGATTTGTAAAATTTACATGTGTGTGTGCTCAGTCGCTCACTCATGTCCAACTCTGTGACCCCATGGACTGTCGCCCTCTAGACTCCTCATTCCATGGGATTTTCTAGGCAAGAACACTGGAATGTGTTGTCATTTCCTCTTCCAGGGGATCTTCCTGACCTAGGGAGCAAACTCATGTCTCCTGCATTGGCAGGCAGATTCTTTACCACTGAGTCACCTGGGAAGCCCCAGAAAGTTTATTTTGGTGTGAAAGAGGGGATATGCTTTACCAGAAGTTAATTTCTA